CGCCCCTCTATCACCTCTCCCATCTTACTCCAGCCTCTATCCCCCCCTTCCCTCCCACATCACAGCTTTCTCCACTTCCCCCCCGCGCCCTCTCACCCTCCGCCTCTGCGCTTCCCCCGAGGCGCTGTCGGAGACGAAACCGCTCTTCATTCGCGAGGAGAAGAAACGCAAGCACGGCCAGGATGATAGCATGCAGGAGGATGGCAAACGCGGGTGGGGCGGGAGCTCGAGCTGGGTGACGGGCACGTCCGAGCAGAAGGCCAGCCAGCAGTACCCCAAAGAGATGTGCAACGCTGTAGCACGGGCTGTAGTGGCTGCGAAGTCTGACGGCTCCGCGTCCGATTGATGACGATCGGCACTAGCAGCGGTGGCAACGATTATAAGCAGCATCAGCAACGACTAGCCACCAACAGCAACAAACAAAACAACGACCACTCGCGCACGACAGCAATCAACACATCACCGCAAATTAGAGCCACGTGTGAACACACGTGGCTGCACGAGCCTGTTCGCAACGCCATCCGTCTCCAACGATGGGCTTCGGATCAGGGGTAAGAGAAACATGGGGATGGACATGAGGTCAGCGCGAAGATAACGAACGAGTGAGGAAGAAAGACGCGGGCAGAAGCGGTGAGCGGGAGTGGGGGGCGGGGCACGGGCTGACTCGGGAGGGAATTTCAAAGATTAGCATGGCCGAAGGTGCGCTCTGAAGCGGCGAGCCGAGACTGCGCGAACGAGCACCGATCTCTCTCGAGGAGTTCTGGCAATCGACGTTCTGCACTGACAGAAATTTGAAAAGGTTCCCCTGGGCATCTGGTAACGTTTGGGACACGGGATGGATGGGGAGGGAGGGCGCACCCTTTCCGTCCAGCCCCGATCTTCCTCCCACCCCGCGTCCCAAAGGTGCCACATGCTCGTCGAACCAATTGTGACTCACCATTGCTCGCCTCCTATGGCTGTCTATCGTTCGCACGTTCTCTCTCCCTCTCTCTCGCTCTCGCTCGCTCTCGCTCTCTCTCCTCCGTTCATTCCCTTCCTGTCATCCCTGCACCTTGTATGTCTCGCGTTATCTATATACATATATATACCGTTTACACAAAACTGTATATATATATGTATATATATGTAAGCATATACATGTATATATATATATGTATATACATATACATATACATATATATATATATATATATATATATGTGTATATACATGTCTCTATACCTGCAACTCCCTCAGTCCCTACCGACCTCCATCCCTCACTAACTCACGCACTCACTCTCCTTTTCTGTATGCCCCCATCCCACTCCTAAGGCCCTCTCGCGTGTGGGGGCACGTTCTGCACTGACGGTCCTGAATGGATCCACTGTTGGCACATAGGAGGTGTTTGAGGTCAATGAGGGTCAGTGGCGAGTCAATGGGAGGTAAACGGACGGCGTTTGCGGGACACGTGGCATAGTGGCAAGTGTGGAAGCTAGTTGATCGAAAATGGGGGTTGGTGACAGAGATCGAAAGAGAGAGAGATAGAGACAACTACGTAAACAGATAAACATATAGCTAGATACAGAGAGATAGAAACATATCTCGAAACTGTGAGAGATAGAGAGCGATATAGCGGAAGCGCGGAAGAGAGAGAGAGATAGAGAGAGAGAGAGAGACACCTATATATTTTTATTTATATATAGAGAGAGAGAGAGAGAGAGAGAGAGAGAGAGAGAGAGAGAGAGAGAGAGCGAGAGCGAGTATAGGGAGATATAAAGATATATAGAGAGAGATGTACGCCACGTGCTGCTGGTCAGATCTAGACCGAAACCCTCCCGCGGGCGCGCCTCCAACTATGGTGCGTTTGATTGCTTTTGTGTGCTCTCGCCTCATCGGGGAGGCCCAGCCGCCGCCGTAGCGCTCGCCGCCGCGGCCCTGCGACCTTTCGTGGGCACCTCGCGGCCGTCGCTGCCCCTTCGTAGTCCGCGGTTGCCCGTCGTTGCCCGTCCCGTCCCATCCTCTCGCGGTCATTGCGGCACTTGGTGGCCCCTCGCGGTCTGGCGCGCGCCGAGGCCGCGCTCGGAATCCGCGGCGGGCACGTGCACTTCTTCCTCCGAGGAGGCGCCGTGGGTCGCACATATGCGCAGATCCTGCGGGGCACTCCCCCTCCCTCGTCCTTTCGGAGTTTCCCGTTTGTACATATTGTGTGGAATACATGGGGCTCGACCCTTACGACTTGATGACTGTGTTGGAGGGCTGGACCGCCCTCGAACGTATGGTGCCTGACGCCCGTCGCACAACGGACGCTGGCTGCGACGTGGCATGAGTTTTTCTCTGCGTCGCTTGATACCGAGACAAAAACGAGAGAGAGAGAGAGAGAAAAGAGACGGATATATATATATATATACATACATACATACATATATAAATATATAGAGAGAGATATATCAACATGCCAATACAGAGAAAATGAGAGAGATCGAGGGATCAACATATAGACGAGGGGAGGGCGGAAAGGAAGACAAGGGTATGAGGGGGGACGATAGGGAGAAAGCGAGGGGAAATGATAATGAAGGGAAGAGATGGACGGGATGAGGAGGGGGGTCGAGGAATGGAGGATGACTGGGGGAAGGGATCAGAAGGGAAGAGAGGGGGGAGGAGAGGAGGACGACGAGGTTGCGGAAGGGAGGGGATGATATCATGAGGAGTGAGGATGATGCTTTTTGTAGATTTGATAGATAAACATCAAGAAACCAAAGCTGGTGATTGTCTGGCGTCCAAATCCTGGCGTTCAAATTTTGAACGCCGAAACCTGGCGTCCACTTTGGACGATATGAGACCTCTGGGCAAGAGTGACCTTTCGCCGGAGTGACCTTTGGTGCGGGCCCAGTGGTGCCCCCCAACCGCCGAAGGCGATGCGATAGTGGCATCTTGCGCGCCTATGTTTGGTCCCCCCGCGGCCCCCAAGAAGCCGCGCACCAACGGTCACGCGTACCCAGGGTCACCCCTGCGTGTAGCCGACAGTACCGCTGCCCGTGGGCGCGCTTCCCACGTTCTGGGCGTCCTGGGAGGCCCTCGTCGCCGCCGTCGGAGTCGCCTCGAAAGTCTGGTCGGAGCCGCCGTCCGTCTCGCCGTTGGGGGGGGGGGGGGGGGGAAACGGGTTCTGAGGGAAACGGGTCCTCAGGATGTTCACCGTTTTCGGGCTCTCGGGGCCCTCTAGGGGCCCCGGGACTGAGCAAGCGGCCCGGGACGAAGAACCCGTCCTGGGGGAAGGCCCCGGGTTTCTCTAGGCCTCTTAGGTGGGGTCCGAGCAGAGGATCGCGCCGCATCGCCGATGCATCGACGATGCGGTTCGATGTGGAGCCCGTGTTTCCCCACGCCGACGTCGCCGACACATCGGCAATGGATTGGCGATGCGGCGCGATCCTTCGACCCCATCTATTCGGACCCCATATAGGGGGCCCCTAATTCCGGGACCCGTTTCCCGCAGGACCCGTTTCCACCATGTGTTGCTAGAAGTGCCCCTGGCCCAAGGTGCCCCCAGCTTTTCTCACCCTCTGGGAGCCACTGGGGCACTCTGGGCCTCGTGAGGGGTGCTCTGGAGGCCGTCTGGGCCACCCCGAGAATCCTAGGGGCACCTTGGGCCAGGGGTATTTCTAGCAACACACGTTTAAGGCATGCCCTTCGACCCCATCTACTCGGACCCCATATAGAAGACCTCTAGTTATAGTACCCGTTTCCCGCAGGAGCCGTTTCCACCATGTTATTCAATGAGCGCATTCCGCTACTTGCACAGTGCCTATTCGCAAACGTCCGAAAAACACATGCTTGCTTCGACGAAATGTATCGTAGCTCCCCCGCGGCGGATCCGGGCCATTTGCGAGTGGTGACCGTGCGAGTGGCAGAACGCGCTTGCCTATCCGCCGTGTTGAGGCATGCCCTTGCCTTGTGGAAGCCGATCAATGGAGAAGAAGCATGCTGCCACATAACTTCCAGGGGTCTAACAGATGTTCAAACACATGTGTTACATCTGTTTTTGTTTTATGTCTGAAACATGTTTCGAACATGCTTTTACACATGTTAAACACATCTTTAGTTCAATGACAGGATTGTTAGAGTGCCCACTGTCATGGCATCCACAACCCTGGCCTGCCCGCTCCCGGCGCGCGGGAGGCGCGCCGGGAGAGGCGCGGGAGGCGCGCCGCGAGGGGGGCCCAGCGCCGATCCGAGAGATCTGCTCGGACCTCCGAGCCGGGGCAGTCCAGCAGTCATCACCGAGCGCGCTCCGCTGCTCGCAAAGTGCCGACCTGCAAACGCCCGAAAAGCACATGCCTGCTTTGGTGTGATTGATCGCAGCTTTCCCGCGGGGGATCCAGGACATTTGCGAGTAGTGAGTCTGCGAGTAGTGGAGCGCGCTCGTCTAAACCGTTGGAATCAGGACGCGCGAGGAGGATGCACGGGCCTTGGACGGCCATGTCCTCCTTTTGCGGGCGGGGCGCGGCCGGCGAAAGCGGCCAGGCATGGCCGAAGGGGAAGGATGCAAGGGCAAAACGTTGCTCAGTGGCTCATCCTTTGCTAACTGCGGGTTGACTGCCCAAACATGCGACGCCCTGATTTGTTCAGGACGGCGCCCCTGGAAGTCCCGACCCGTTCCCCAGGATCGGCTTCTCGCCCTGAGTGCTTTTTGGACGGCCCCGAGGCCCGGCGAGGGCCCCCCGGGGCCGAACCTGGCCCAGAGCCTCCCGTCCTGATCCCTGCACGACGCGACCAGGGTCTGGGTGCACGTCCCCTGTGCCCCTGCTCAGCGCTCGAGCGCCGCTGCCCGTGGATCGGGCCGCACGAAAGGGTTACGAAATTTGCTGCATGCAGCTGGTTTCGGCCCCACCGAGGGGCCCATTCCTCGATACATGGGCGCCTCCGGCGCCGGGAGGCGCCGGGAACATCAGCTACGTGGGCTGATTCTCAAACCCCCCTTTTGCTATCCCCCCCTTTCGCCCGACCCGAGTGGAAGTCTCCGGCAGGCCGCTGCGACGGCTGCGCGCCAGGGCCGATGAGCGCGGGGGGCGGCGCGGCGGAGCCCCTGTCCCGGACGGCCGCCGCGGGCCCCGGCGGCGCCTCCTACGGCGCCGCGGAGGCTGGCGGCGCGGCGGGCGAGGGCTGCAGCGGGAGGCCTCGGGGAGGAGAGGGCACCCCTCGGGCCCCATGGACACGATATATCGCGTCGTAAGGCAAAAATCGGGGCGGGAGGTTTTTGGGGTAGTTTCGGCCCCGGGGGGCCCTCGCGGAGCCTTGGGGCCGTCCAAAAAGGACTCAGGACGAGAAGCCGGTCCCGGGGAAAGGGTCGGGACTTCCAGGGGCGCCGTCCTGTACAAATCAGGGCGTCGCATGTCTGGGCCTCCCTCTAGGTCTCCTATCGGGGAAACGTAAGACTCGAGTAAGCGTGAACGCGGGTTTGCCTACGTTTCCTGAGGAGCGCGTCATCGGTTTTGACGATCCAGTCTTCGTGGGATGTTTGCAGCGGGAGCTCGCGTCAAATTTCAGATTGGGTCTCGTCATCTTTACGATGGCCCTACCAGGCCAACCAGAGTCCCCCGCATCCGAGTCTCACGTCTTCCCGATCCTAGATGGGGTCGGAGCGGATGGGGTCGGAGGATCGCGCCGCATTGCGGGTGCATCGCCCATGCGGCTCAATGTGGAGCCCGATCTGCCTCACGTCGGCGTCGCCGATGCATCGCCGATGCATCGCCGATGCATCGGCGATACGGCGCGATCCTCCGACCCGAGATACTCCGACCCCATCTGGGAGGCCTCCATCGCTGGTCTCGCCTCGCAATGACGGCCACTGCAGAAGACAGGACGGCATACATCGGAAGCTGGAGCACATACATTACCAGTGGCGGGCTGTTTTGCAATCCCAAGACATTTTGAGGGTCGGCGACGACGTCGGGGTGGTGTGGTGTATACACTTGTTTCCCCGTCTCCCCGTCGCAAGAGCGATAATGTATACACCAAAGCCCCGTAGACACCAGGGTCCGCTTGCCTGTGCTAGTTTCGGTGCGGGGCCAGAAAAAGCGTCGGTGTATAGAGCTCGGCTCCTTAATGAACATCAACTCGTGGCGCTCCGCGCAGATGTTTCGGACCCGCGCTGGGCCCCCCGGCGCCGCCTCCGGCGCCACTCCTGGCGGGCTCCGCGCGTCAGGGAGGGGGGGTCAGCGCAGAGCAAGAAGTCCGCGCGGAGCGCCAAAAGTTTGTGCTTATGGCGTTTTTCTTCTTCTGGGTCAGAGAGCACCCCAGGAGGTCTGCGGAGTAATGGTACGGTAGGTTCGCGTCGGTGTCGACCAGCGGCGAACCCGCCGCTGGCGTTCAACATCGAGCGCCGGCGGCGGCCCAGAATCGGTCGACGGTGACGGATCGGACGGTTTGGAAATGGTTGGTCGTTCAAGGTTGGACGATCCCCGCGGTGTCAAAGTTCAACGCCGAAGTCGGCACGACACGAGCCTGCGGTACGGGAGCCTTCTGGTTTCCTCAGAGGCTCCTCGCGCTGGTCCTCTGCCTGTGCTGCGCGGTCGTCGGTCAAGCAGTGGCGAGGCGTCCTGGCTTGCCTGCTAGGCCCACCGAAGAGTGTTCCAAGAATTTGTTTAGGGGAACAATGACTCGTCGGTCGTTGAAAATAGGTCTTTTTGGATGCCTTGATCCAAATCTACTTCAAGCTCCTTGCTACTTCAAGAATCGATATGCTTTTGCTGTGTGTTGTTCTTCTCGGAGACGGCCTGAGACCAACCTACTTTACCCGCCTTCCTACTTCAGATGTGTCCCTACTTCTTCCGACCAACGCAACGTGTAATGACATAAGCATAAAGATCGGAGGTTCGCGCGGAGTCCTCGGATCGGCGCTGGGGCCCCCTGGCGGCGCCTCTGGCGCCGCGCCGCCCCCGGCGCGCTCCGCGCGCCAGGGAGGGAAATCCAGAGCCGATCCGAGGAGTCCGCGCAGACCTCCGAGTTTGTGTGGTTATGTCATTGTTTGCGTCCCCACGTTTGTGGTCTGCGCGAGGTGATCTTAGAACCTTGCAGGCTGAGACCGTCTTGTTGTAGCACACCGGCGTGTGTGCTCAGAGTACCATGTCTTCTTCTTAGAACATTCTTGTCGTTCTGGGAACATTCCGTGGTAGGCACACAGGAATGCCGGGACCCCGATCCCCTCCCAAGCCCGGGGCAACGTTCGAGGGGGGGGGGATCGGCTCAGTGAGCGGTGGTCTTCGCCCCTTGATCGCCGACAGGGGCCCGACAGTTGGCCGAGCCCATGAGCGTGCGGCTTCGCTATCGGGGGGCTATCGCCGACCTATCGTCGCAGGCCTAGAGGTTGACACCAACACCAAGATCGGCGGTGTGCCTCCACCGAGGGAGGACGATCCCAATCTCGGTGATGGTGGTAATAGTTTGGTTTCCAGGGTGACCGAAGTATTACCACCAACACAGAAATCTAGGATCATCGTTCCCCTGTGGAGGCAACCCCCTGTCTTGGTGTTGGTGCCCATTTCCAGGCCTCCAAAAGTCGGTCCCCCCGCCATCGCTGCCGATCAGGTGGTGGCCGAGGGCTACGACATCGGTGTCCTCAACGGCGTGGCCGTGCGCATTCAGGACGAGTTCGGCTTCGGGGCCTTCAGGATCGGCGTCATCATCTCCGTGACGCCCCTCTTCGTCATCATGGGCTCCGGGCTGGGAGGGTGGCTGGCGGACCACTACGGACGCCAGCGGGCGCTCGCAGCCACGCTGTGCTTCCTGGTGGTCGGCCCAGTCGTCATGTCGTTGGCGAACGGTTTCGACCTGCTCGTGATTGGGCGGGCATTGGTGGGCACAGGCATTGGTGCTGGCCTGGTCGTCGTCAGCGCCTACATCGCGGAGATCGCACCCGCCAGTTTGCGAGGCCGCTTCGTCGGCATCGAAGAGGTGTCCCTGAACGTCGGAATGTTGCTGGGCTACATCGCGAATTGGGCCATGGTCGGCCTGGAGGACGACTGGCGGTACATGCTGGCTTTGGGCTCTCTGTTCAATTTGGCGGTCATGGCTGCCCTGGTGCTCGGGTGCATTCCCGAGTCCCCAAGGTGGCTCATGCTCCATGGGCGTGACGAGGAGGCGTCGGCCATCCTGGCCCGATTCACGGGCGCTCGCGAGGCTGCGGGGGCACTGAGAGCGTGGAAGGCGGTCCCCCGCGCGGGCCCCGTGGCGCCTGTGGCGGCGCTGTGGCCCCTCGACCCGCCGATGCGACGGGCGCTGACCGCCGGCATTGTGGTGGGCGTGGCGCAGACCTGCTGTGGGTACCTGGCCGTGGCGTACTACTCCAGCAAGGTCATGAGCAGGGTGATGGGGGAGCGGCAGGCCTTCCTGAACACCGTGATCATGGGCCTCATCGCGGAGGCGGGGAAGGCTTCATGAGCTCAGGCGGTAAGGGGTCCACGCGGGTCTTTCGGCTCGGCGCAGGGCCCCCCCCTCCTTGGAGCGCGGATCGCGCCAGGGACGGCACCAGAGGCAGCGCTGCCAGAGCGGTCCCCAGGCGCCAGGGGGGTCTTTCGGAGCCCCGCCCCGCGCGCGTTCCGCGCGCCAGCGGGGGGGAGCCAGCTCCGAACCAAGACATCCGCGGGGACCTCCGAAAGTCCACGCGTATGCTCTGGGCCTCCTAGATGGGGTCGGAGCATATGGGGTCGGAGGATCGCGCCGCATCGCCGATGCATCGACGATGGGGCTCGCTGTGGAGCCCGATGTTCCCCTCGCCAACGTCGCCGATACATCGCACACGTCGACGATGCATCGCCGATGCGGCGCGATCCTCCGACCCCATCTACTCGGACCCCATCAGGGAGGTCTGTATATATCAGGAGGGACCAAAACAGACAGACGCAAGTAGTCGTCGATTCCCCGGACAAGATGGGAAAGTGTGGAAGAGTGGGGGGGGAAGACGACGTTCCCGAACATGTGGGAAAACGTAATTGGGAATCCTGGGAGCTGTTTGTATTTGTACGTATTGGCGAAGCGTCCCGGCTCGCCCATAGCCCCACCAAACAATGTTCTAAGAACTTGTTGTGGTTCCCACGAAATGTTCTCAGAACATTTCTGGCTAGGACTGCCTTGTTTTAACACATCGGGTCGATGTTCTAAGAACATAGTTTTGTTATTCGAACATTTTTGGGTTCTAAGAGCATTTCGTGGTATGACTACAGGAATGCCGGGACGGTCGGTCCCTGCTCAAATTCAGCTTCCCTCCCTCTGCCATCAAGACCCTGGTCGTGGTGGCGGTCGTCTTCCGGGTGGACGACATCGGGCGCCGCACAGCGCTGCTGGCGTCGACGGCGGGCACGGCCGGCGGGTGCGTCTGGGTCGCCGTCGCGTTCCACAACGCCTGGAACCCGTGGGCGCTGGCGGCAGGGTGCTCTCTCTGTCTGGGGGGGGGGGGGCTTGCTTCAGGAGGGGCAAACCCAGACATCGGGCGTCTCGAAAAAATCGAGACAAAGGTTTTTCATCGTTTTCGGCCTCTGGAGGCCCTCGCCAGGCCTCGGGACTGTCAAAAAACGACTCGGGATGAAAAACCGGTCCCGGGGAAGTGGTCGGGAGGTTGGGGGCCCGTGTCTCGAAAAAATCGAGACGTCGGATGCCTGGGAACACACATACAGACAATGAATCGTCGATCCCCAGGAAGTATGAGAAAATCTGGACACTGGGGGGGAGACGAACACCCAGAAAAGATTGGGGAACATACGGGGAATCCTGGGGGGTGTGTCCATTCATTTCTGTGTCCCCTGGGCCCCTTCAGCCTTTACGGTCGGGAACTTCTGGATAGCGTGTCGCTCCGCCGGTTCTGGCCCACCGCACCTCGGCGCGACACGCTGTCCGCTTTCCCATTCCCAGACATGCGACGCCCCGATGTTGTTCAGGACGGCGCCCCTCAAAGTCCCGACCCTTTCCCCGGGACCGGTTTTTCGTCCCGAATCGTCATTTGACGGTCCCGAGGCCTGGCGAGGCCCCCCCGGGGCCGAAAGCAGCCAAACACCTCCCGCCCCGATTGTTTTACGGCGCGATCATCTCTGCGTTTCCCATTCCCACGCATCGGTATCGCAAGCCTTGCCGAGCCTCCCGCCGCGCGGAGCGGAGCAGCACGCCATCTACTTCTTGCGAGGCACTGCGTGTCGCTGGGGCCGGGGCGGCGGCACGTTGAGCGAAAGTTCTCGACCTTAGGCATCCTCCTCTTCCTTCTCCTTCTCCTCCTCCTCCTCCTCCTCCTCCTCCTCCTCCTCCTTTCCAACTCCTCCTCTTTCTCCGCCTCCTCCTCCGCCTCCGCCTCCGCCTCCTCCTCCTCCTCCTCCTCCTCCTCCTCCTCCTCCTCATCCCCCTCCTCCTCGCAGAGGAAGCCTGGTGAAATCGAACAAGAACACATGCATGAAAGCGGAGGCGAAAACAAAAAAAGCGGAGGAGGCAGCGGAGGCGGAGGAGGCGGAGGGGGCGGAGGAGGAGGGAGGGAGGAGGGAGGAGGGAGGAGGGAGGAGGGAGGGGGGAGGAGGGAGGGAGGAGGGATGACTGTTCGAAGCTCCGCGCGGATTCCGTGGCTCTGCGCGTGGACCCCCCTGGGCGGCGCGCTTCCGGCGGCGCGCACCGGGCGCCCGGCGGGCGGGGGGGGGCCCTGCGCCGAGCCAAGAGAGCCGCACGGAGGTCCGACGGCTTGTGTGCTGTGCTCGAGGCTCAAGGAGGGGGACGAGGAGGAGGAGGAGGAGGAGGAGGAGGAGGAGGAGGAGGAGAGGAGGAGTGAGGAGGAGGATGGAGGCGGGGGGAGGAGGAGGAGGAGGAGGAGGAGGAGGAGGAAGAGGAGGAGGAGGGAGAGGAGGAAGGAGGAGGAGGGAGGCGGAGGAGGGTGGCGGAGGAGGAGGAGGATGAGGGGAGGAGAGGAGGAGGAAGGGGAGAGGAAGAGGAGGAGGGAGGAGGAGGAGGTGGAGGAGGGAGGAGGAGGGAGGAGGGAGGAGTGAGGAGGAGGAAGGAGGGGGAGGGGGAGGAGGGAGGAGGGGAGGTGAAGGGGGGGTAGCTTCGCAGGAGCGGCCTGAACCATTTGCCGGGGCCCCTGGGAGGGTAAGCAAAACAGTTGGGATGGGGAATCAAGCACCAGGGTGGATGGGGAGGAGGAGGGAGGAGGAGGAGGAGGAGGTGGAGGAGGAGGAGGAGGAGAGGAGGAGGAGGAGAGGAGGAGGGTAGGAGCAGGAGGAGGAGGAGGACGGAGGAGGAGGAGGAGGAGGGGAGGAGGAGGGGGAGGAGGAGGAGGAGGAGGGGGACCGAGGAGGTTTGAGCGAGGAGGAGGTGGAGGAGGAGGAGGAGGAGGGCGGGAGGAGCTCGGGTCCAATGTGCAGATGGGGAGGAGGAGGGTGTGGAGCGAGATGCAGGGAGGGAGGGAAGGGGGCCCAGCGAGAGAGTTGGAGGAGGGGAGGAGGAGTGGAGGAGGAGGAGGAGGAAGGAGGAGGAGAGGAGGAGGAGGAGGAGGGGTGTAAGGGGGGGGGGAGGAGGGGGAGGAGAAGGAGGAGGAGGAGGAGGAGGAGGAGGAGGAGGAGGAGGAGGAGGGGGGGGAGGAGGAGGAAGAGGTTCTGTTCCTCGATGGGAGCGGGAGTTCTGAGGCTCGACGGGGGCTTGTTTTCCGAGGGCGGCCTCGCCTGCTCTCGGCGATTTTGCCCGGCGTAAGGGCGCACCTCCCTGCAGCTGCACCTCGCCGGGAGCGCTCAAGGCGTGGCCGGAAGCCAGGCGACGCAGGGCGGCGCGGATCACGCGGGTCGAACCGAGAGGACCCAGACATCGGGCGTCTCGAAAAAATCGAGACAAAGGTTTTTCTTCGTTTTCGGCCTCTGGAGGCCCTCGCCGGGCCTCGGGACCGTCAACAAAACGACTCGGGATGAAAAACCGGTCCCGGGGAAGTGGTCGGGAGGTTGGGGGCCCGTGTCTCGGAAAAATCGAGACGTCGGATGTCTGGGGAGGGGGAGTGGGGAAGGGCAGGCTGCGAAATCAGCCGCACGAAGCCTTTTTGGTGGCCCCTCCGCCGGCCGAGCGCTCTCCTCGATGCGAGTGCGCTTCCAGCGCCACGAGGCGCCGGGAAAGTCAGCTGTGCATATAGTTGGGTCGCTAAGCTCCCTTTGAAGTTCTCCCTCCCGCCCGCCGCCCCAGGAGGAGGGGTGGAAGTGGTGGAGGACGACGACGACGACGACAGCGGGAGAAGACTGAGTTGTTTTGTTGACGGTCCCGGAGCCCAGGGAGAGGCCCAGGAAGCCGAAAACGGCGAATTAAAAGTTGTTCGTTCTTTCAGGCATGCTAAAGTCTCACGTCCCCCTTCGGTTCTGGATCTTCATGGCGGGCTTCTCCTTGGGACTGGGGCCAGTGACCTTCGTCTACGTGGCCGAGATATTCCCGACCGAGCTCCGCGGCAAGGCCACGGACGTCGGCAGCATCGTCGTCTTTCTTATGTATATAAACAAATGTAGATTTACGCACACACACATATATATACACCTATATCGATATACTCCTCTTCCTCCTTTTCCTCCTTCTCCTCCTCCTCCTCCTCCTCCTCCTCCTCCTCCTCCTCCTCCTCCTCC